TACTTAACAAGCCAAACACGAGCAATTTACAAACAACGAAAAATTTGTGATTATCAAACCATTTTGACAGCCCTAATTTATGCTGTATGTGATTAGAGCTTTGACTACCACTGCATCATTAAAAAGATTTTCTCGCCAGCAGATGTCAATTTCACAACAATAATAGGCGCAATCTGTATCTAGCACCTTGGAGGTGGCGATCGAGCTCACGTCTTTCACTCCATTCAGGATTTAGTTTGTCAGGCATCTTCTCTTTCTCCTAAGATGGCAAGCAATATCCCTACGATATGGCTTGTCTGTGCCAATACTAGCTTTTTTTCTCCATTTTTCTACGGCGCATTTCTTGGCCTCCGTTCAAGTTCAACTAAAATAAACTCCTTAAAATCCCCAATTTTGATCAACGCTTCTATCAGATATCAAAGTGCCAACAAGGGAGGAAGGTGGAAGCGGCGAAGGAACCCATGCCCTAGCCTACCAATGAAGAAGAAGAAGAGAGAAGGAGCATCACTAAGCAGAAGAGGGGCGAGCCGGTGTCTTTAAATTATAAAGACTATATATACTGTGAGGGGTGGGTGGGGGGGGGGGGGGGCGTGCTGGGCCGAGACGAGAGAGATTTAGAGAAATTTTGTTCTGGGGAGAAATTTTTTGATGGAAAGTTTAAATTATAAAGACTATATATACTGTGAGGTTAAAAAAACACCTTCAAGAAAAATCAACATGCCGCACATGATCTGCCCGGATCCAATCGGTAGGAATTTAGATTAGACGATAATGCATTTCAAGGGAAAAACAATAAAAAAAAAAAAAAAAAAGCATTGATCATCATAAACCCTCAATCCCTACAAAATTTGAATGAGCTTCCAGGTCAAAACCGTGCATAAATGGGAAGTCGACATAATGAGTTCAGCCCTTATTTAGATCACAAAACAAACTGTAAGCCTTATATATATGAGTTCAGCCCTTACTTAGATCACAAAACAAACTGTAAGCCGTATATATATATATATTCATACTTGTATCTTCCAAACTTAAACAAGTCAAAACCAATAACTAATAACAAGTGGTACAACGGCAAACATTCATTATTTTCTCCACTTAAAAAGCACAACAACGGTAAACACTTCAAAAGGACCAGAGAAGAACAGAAACAATCCCTGTACATGATAGCCAGTGAATCAGTGATGGTGCTGCGGCATAATCCTTTTTCCTCATAATCAGCTCTAGCCAATCTGAGATGGCCTCGGACCTGCAAGATTAATAACCAAACAAGATGAGGATTGAAAAGAAACCAAAAAAAGATTTGAAAGATCGTGGCAACAGAGATGCCATCGTGGCAACAGACATGCCATGAAGCAATTTGAGACCAAAAAAAATCCAATTTCACCTAAATTGACAGCTTCTGAGCTTTTCATCAAGCGAAGACGTTTGCAGGAGGTAACAAACATTCTGCAGAGATCAAAAATATCAGGAATCGCAGTAACTATCTTACGATTAAATATTATATTATCATTCTTCAGAATAATAACAAGAACATAGCCACTGAAATCATCATGTCTTTTCTAATACATATTAACAAATTTTACAGGCTTATTTAACATGGTGCAAACAAAATTGATCTGTCAGCAGCAGCGTGTTTTATATATTTAACTGTTAGACTTTAGGAGCAAAATTTTTAACTTTTTCGAACGAGAGGGTGCAATGCAAAAGCCCTGGCGGAAAATCAAAAATCGATGATGACAAGGACCTTTGGTCAATGCACGCTGATTAGGATTTCAAGGCTTTTAAGAAAAGCATTTGTTGGAACAATTTTCAAAGCTAAAAATGGACCCAGAACACGTTTTTGCATCGGCATTTATGCAATTGCATATTTTTAGCATTAACACATATTTCAAAGCATTATCTAATTTAGCGTACACATGTCGAGGAACCCGACACCCGAATATATGAGGATTGATGGATTTCATATGTCCACATGAATTTCTAAGAATTGGCATCTTCCGCATGGTGATTCATTTAATACAAGTGCAAAATAAAATTTGTTTCATGCCGAATGTTAGGCAGATTCACTTACTCTACGGCTATTTGAGTTAAGCTGGGACGATTCATTTACTCTAAGGCTATTTGAGTTAAGCTGGGACCAAACTAAATTACTTGGGCACAACCAAATTTATTTCAATCTCACAAGCTGATTACACTAGACAAGATGAACTCGAGTTCAATTCAACTTAAACCCAAACCAAATTTGGAGACTTGGTTCAATTTAGATTGAGCGAGGCGGATCAGATTTTAATACATCTAACTATGGTTGAATTGGATTAGAATTAAGTAAGAGAACCAGGTCTGTTATGGTCTACTAATTTGACTAAGGTTGAAGTGGGTTGAAGCTTAATTCAAGTATTTCAAATTGAAGCGAACCAGTGATACTCCTAACTACTCAAACTAGCATCCCAAGATCCAGATTGTCTAACTTAGGTAGGACCAATAGACTCAATCAATTAATGCGGAGGACACTACCGGATCTTTATCTAAGGTTCAGAAGAGCATGACTTTGATCCAGGTAAGCATCTTTCGGTCAGAGCTATGTGCATCCACAGCAAAAATTAATTGTTATGTTCAGTTTATGAGCTAACATCAAGGTTTTGCTGCATTGTTTAGTTTTCCAAAATGGTAAGATAAAGTAGCAATATGTCACCTCTCAAATGAGCTCAAGGGTGGTGGGCAGCCCAGGACTTAAATACTGTTTTTCGACCCTACACCTAGCCGATGTGGGACTATTTGTCTGTGACATTCTCCTCCACCCAATCACGTGACGCCCTCGTGGATCGGCTCCACCGAGGGTCCCACTGGACCATGGAGAGTCCACACACCTGGCAGACAGTAATCTGCTCTGATACTACTTGTCACCTCCCAAAAGAGCCCTTAAGGGTGGTGGGCAGTCCAGGACTTAAATACTGCTTTTCGGCCCTACACCTAGCCGATGTGGGACTATTTGTCCGTGACAGATAGCTGACTTTGACATATTGAGACACATCAAGCTCGCCTTTAAAAAATGAAACCCGGCAACTTCGGTCTTTCATTTTAACAATTAACAACGGTTTTGATACAATTCATGTACGTGTTAGAATATTGAATGATCATGCTCATTATTAAATTTAATAATTATCAGGCAAAAAGAAGAATTTTATAAAATTATTAATAACAAGCGATTAAATTGATAACGCAAATATATCATGCCAAGAACTAGCCAAAAAACAACCCCCAACCCTAAAGGAAGATAAATAAGAACGAAAAATAATAGCAGGTAAGAAAATTGCCAACAAATAGTTAGAATAAGAGCCATTATGCTAGTTTTGAATAGTATTAATCTTGTGACATTACATTTGCACTGGCTATATTATTTGCCTAGCTGATCTTTAATGCAAACTACTGCATTCACTGACCTTTTTGGCTACTGATAATCAAATGCTCCTTTTATATATATTATGACAAAGCAATATGACACCAAGGAAACTATTGAGCAAACCTCCCACAACAATTTAGTAGTAGCTGGCAACTCAATCCACCCATGGCAATCTAGGAGACATCAACATTTAAGGTGTGCCCGTTGAAGCAAAATAGAAGTGCTTGCAATACACCGATCCTACAGACCATAAAATTCCTAAAAAAAGGTGCTGCTTGCACAAAACCTAGGATCGAGATGACAGGATTGTCCTTCACAACAACTAATACAAAGAGAGGTTAACTTCTCGTGGCATTTATAAATATCATCAACAAAGTGAGTTAAATGGATCAAAATGATAATGATAATCAAGACCATATGAATTCCACATCTAAATGAGTTTGTAATATAATAATCTTGATCCTCAACGTTCAAACGGTGATATTTATGTGAAATTCAAAAAGTTTAATTTGAATGAAATCAAACGATACAACAAAATACAGGACACCTACAACGATGCAACATGTTCAAGTAGATTTTGAACAATGGAAGGGTGCTATTAACAAGGAGATGAGAGGGATGTAATAAATGAAGCAATGATGAAGAACAAATAGAGACTCATGAGACTCATGAGAATCACTTCTCTTCTCATCATCAATTTTATTCACTTTTCTCACTAATTTTTTTTCCCTGATCCTTATACTTTCTTTTCTTACCTTTGTATGGGTTTACTTGGTCATGGCATACGATAAATTAAGAAAATATAAAGGTTTCAATTCCTAAGTGGAAGTAGATTATTTGGTTGATAAAAAACATCAGAAGATAAAATTAGTGGTTGCACTTTAGTAAAAACACTTTTTTTTAACTTATCAGTGTTCTATATTGCATATACATGAATTGTTTTACTATTAAAATAAGTACATGAAGTCTCACAAAAATAGAAATATCTACCAATAAAATAAAATTGTCACCTTTGATCAATTTAATAAAAAAGAAAAGTACTTCTCATTTCAATCAAATAATATTCACAACTAAACTACCATAACTTCCAAAACTTGTGAGTAAATCAGCCTGCAAAATGTAATTTCTATACCCAGCTAACTATTATAAAGGTATGCATGATAGCCTTTAGCATCAACCCAAACAGTCTTCAATGGGCTGTCAGAAATATCATTCCCAGCGGTGTTTGAACATGCAACAGGAGATACACTGATTCCACTTCATAATGCAAAAAATAGTGGAAGATTTTGCATATGAGATGATAAAGAGAAGAGAAGATTTGAAGGTGAAGATGATGGCAGTCACAATAAGGTCAGCTTTGTTGATGGTATTCAGCAGAGCGAAGGATGGGGGGGTGATGGCAACAAGACATGGATGGCTTCATGACAGATGCGTGTGAACTTCATGCTTGCAAGAAGCATGACAGATGTGTGCGAACGTCATTACTTGCAAGAAGGGACATATTGGTGGCTCTTGTGGCTCTTGCGTAAGAAGATCACAAAGTTAAGATAAGTTTAAGCATCATTGCAACCTTGCTTAAATTTCACACGGCTTATCCCCACTAAATGGAAAAGTAGAGCTTACATACATCCCTCATGGATAGCATTTTTACATTATTTGATTGGACTCAAAGGCATAAAATAACTAATACCTGAATTAAACTTCAAATATGCATGCTCTACATATCAATAAACCCCTTTACTCTTTTACCATTATACTTGCCTTCTCTAGCTCTCTGTCCACTTTTTCCCTTAAACAAGTCCTCAAAAAATAGAGAACTTGCAATGAAAGCGTTTTAATCAAATGACATTCACTTGAAAATTTTTTTTGAGAAATGCTTGTGAGAACGTCATGCTCAAAAAGAAGGGAAATATTATTGATGGCACTTATGAGAGGAAATAGTGAAGATGAGCAATGCTTAGAAACTCTATTACAAGCCCGTTTAAGCTTTGCATAGGCTATCCAAAATTAGAGTTTATATCATGTTATGGATGGTGTTTTAATGTTAATTCATTGTGATTTTAATCCAGCTTATACCTAACTTAAAGCCCAACCAAATAAGCCAAACATATCAACCCTTACAGTCTTTTCTCATTCTCCCTTTATTGTCTTGCTCTTTCTTTTTTTCTTCTTCCCCTACGCACTTCCTCAACAATATAAGAGCATATTTTATTTGTACTATTATCTATAAAAAAAAAAAGAAATCAAATTTTTCTTTCTTGATTTTAATACCAAGATTTTAGGTACGCTATGATAACTTCATACTTAAGAAATTCAAACCAGTCCTAACAACCCTCTTTTATGCTCAGTATGGCTCTATTCTTCAATATATTCTCTTTGTAATATGTTAGTAGAAATAATTCTCTTTGCATATTCTAACAAAGAGAACCCAAAAAAAAAAAAAATCTATTTGTAATTTCTTAAACCTGATATAACTTGTTATCACTATTCTTAACTTCACTTTTTTTATCAAAACCACTATCATCTAACTTGATAAAAAAATAATTATTACATTCCAAAATGAAGCCTTTGACGCAAAAACTACATTGATAAGACTGCATGAATTTTAATCCTCAATCTATCAAATGTTATATTAGGTTAATAGTATAGTACATAGTGCACAGACATAAGAGGCAAAAACAACATGGTAGAAGTAAATTCTTAGATACAAGTCACAGACGAGTTAAAAATGGTGTAAATGTAAATCTAGAATGCATCTAATTCAAATTTCCATCATTAATAATTAAAAATATAAAATTAAATTCGATGGGTAATAAATATAATTTTTTAATGTAGAATAATAAAGCTCAAGACTAAATGATACTTAAGTGAGGAATATTAATGGAGTTAAGAGAAGAATAATGAAAAGTGGAATTTAAAATAAAAGTGATTAGATGAATTATAGTGACACATTTCATGTATAACATATCCAATACCTTACAATGAGATGACATCGAAATAGGGTTCAAATGTGTCATTAATGTCACAAGCTTAGCAAGGAAATAAGGAAATAAAGCACCTGACATGGTAGGCCAACCAAAAATATTCTAGATGTTCTAATGTCAAATTGTCTAAAAACAGCATCAAACACAAGACAACTCAATTTAAAAGTGTTGTTGGTTCATAGTTAAAAACTCAGCTCACCAAGGTCACAAAAAGGCTTGTACTATCCTAACCCACTAGTTCGGCATGTACAATTTAACACTTTGAATCAACCCAATTTCTTTAAGGTGGGTGAATAAGGTCACTTTTTCAACATTTTTTATTCAAACCATTCGTACATCCACAGCCTAATTTCACACAAATTGCATAGGTAAATCAGCATAGAACATGTTTACTAACTAGTTCATGGACTGGATGTAAATTATGACAAAAAATCCTATAATAATTTGAAAGACAGGACTATAGAGAGATAGATAGATACAAACTTAAAAAGAAATGAATACACTCATCTTAAGCATCTTACATTGACAACAGATATTTAAGTGGTTAAGATTTAAAGTAACTTAAAGTCACTGGAAATATAAAAAAATATCAGGTAAATATTTAAATCTCACCTAAATAGAAGGTTATTAAGGCATATATACCATGTCCATGAAATATTATTGGTTTTTTTTTTTTTTCATTCAGATGATAAGAACAAGATCTCAAATGCCCTAAGCCATGATCAACGGGTTAGAATAATGCACCCAACAAACAGATCAAACCTATTCTAACAGCCTTAAAATGTAAATAACGAGAATAATTAATCTACTCAATAATATTGCAATTACACAATCAAGCGGCCTGATCATCACAATATAACGTTAATCTTAGTTGTCGACTAACCTATCATCAATTTTTTCAAATGAAATCATCTAGAACATATAACATTAATCGACTGCACAAAGTGAGATGTATTTAAATGTATGTCCACCGCATAACCACAAAAGAAAATTATCAGATCTGTTGATAAGCACATAATCATATTAACATAAACCCCGGAGCAAAAGATAAGTACATCAAGAAAAAAATTAATATAACACGGCACCGTATACTAAAACATTGCACGAACTAACCAAAAAACACAACTGCACGAATAATTATCTTACTTCCATGGAACATCACCAACAAGCATCCAGTCCCCATCCTTATCCTCATATGTAGGCACATACTCTGTTCCGTTAAGCGGATCAACCAGCCTCCTCTCGTTGTTGTTCGGCGAGTTACCTGCCAAAAAACCAGTAAAACTCAGTGCAACATTCTCATAATTGTAGTAAGAAAAACATCAATCCTCTTAATCCCCGTAGATGTTAGGAAACTTACGAATCGTAAAACAGGAGAACATCTCTTGAAGTGCGGTCAGCAGCTGCTGATACCCTTCGTTCATCTCCAGGTCCACTTTTCGAAGGTACGGCGCCCCATCCACGGCCACCTTCACATATGTGCAACTCTTCAGCGCGTTCTTTCGGAATGCCCTCACAGGCGGCCACCCAATCACCCGCGCCCTGAACACCATGAAAATTCCCAACAGTCACTAATAAAGCGTCACCAAAGTTAAAACAAGGTAAATCTCAAGTGAGGTCAACATTTACTTGTTGGCCGGCAGCGTCCCGGCTGCGCAAGAGCGCGTGTCAGACGACTCCGCAGTCAAATAGTCAAGATTGCCTCCTCCAGAGCCACCAAGCTTCAGATCGACAGTCTTGGAATACCCACGCTTTCTCTCCGTCTCCGATCCGGCGATGCGTGAGCTCCCCGGAAGACCGAGCTTCAGCTCAGTCTCCTCATAATCGAGACCGGAAACATCCGACTCAGTCGAACTCTTCGCCGTTTCTGCCGACATCTACGCCAAACTTACCTCTCTCCGTCAGCGTTAGGGTTTCTCCACCAACCTGCAGTAGAGCTCTATGTTACTTGGCTCAAAGCAAATGTTCAAAGCCGACGGAGCACTCCGCCTGCTTATAACACTGACTATTTACCGTTGGATGATCGACACGTGTTCATGATCGGACGCCAGAAAACTCAACGCGTCAGGCGGGAGCCGGGAGCGTGTGCAACGACGGAGCCTCGGGGTTGTGGGCCAGCGTGTCGGTTCGCGCTGTCTCCCGGTTCGGCGCAGATGGCTTGAGCCGGATCGGCCCGCGCTGTCTCCCGGTTCGGCGCAGATGGCTCGAGCCGGATCGGCTGCAGAGCGCATTAGCTGAACCGAGCTTAGCAGGCGCGAAGCCGTATGGGGGGCAAGATTAGTGAAAGATGAACAATTAGCAGCGCGGTATGAAATAGTGGGGACCGCGGTTATGTGTTGGTGGAGAAGCGGTCAACTTTTTTCGGGGATGGGGCAGAGGGTGGTCCCCACAGGGGACAGTCATGTGACCGATGTTGGCCTTTGCCGGCGAACTGTCTCTGGGACCACCGCCACGTGACGGTTCGTGCGGCCTCCAGCACGAGGTTTATTGAAAACAGCCGGTGATGGGCACTGGGATTGTGGGGAGTTCCTGTTAAATTACGCACGATGATCGCTTGCCGGTCTGAATAAACGATTGAGTGCGATTTGTTTCTTACTCGGCAGGACGAACATTTTGCTTCTGATTCAATTCAATTTTGCCCTCAAATATCTTTTTTAGTTTGAAATATATGTATATATATATTAATATATATATGTATATGTATATATATATATATAATATATATATTAAATTTGTATATCTAATATTTATACTTTTATTATTATATTTAGAATACTGTGATAATATATAATTATGCATGAAAGATGTATTTCAATTTCTATAAGTACATAATAATGACTTCATAATGTGATATTAATGATTTGAATGCTAAGTTTAAAAATTAAAGTTTCTTTGATACTTGTTATTTGAGTGATTTGTGAGATTTGTCATGTAAATTGTGCCCAAGACATTTAGCGTGAGATCGAGGCAAAGAGAAAGAAAGGGAGAAAAACTTTGCCCGTGGGGCAAGAACGGGGGATTGAAGAGGGGTGAAAAGTGATTTTCTTGAGCTCTTTGGTCCATTTTATTCTACAAATAGGTGATTATAAGGGAAGGGGAGAGTTCTCCCTACATGGGGGTGAGGGAGAGGAGAGCCCAAAGAAAGAGACAGACTCTTTTACATTTTATAGGTTATTCTACTCATACAAGAGAAAACGAGGAAATATCATATTATATATTTATCCTCGCTTTACAGAACATAGGGCAGGGTATTTTGGTCATTTTCTCGCTCAGATTTGTTGTTTTGGAGCATTGGAGTTTGTCGGCGTCGAGTGGCTACCCAGGGTGGTCAGTCCGCTTGAGAATGGAGGTCGGCCAATTAGAGTTTGGTGGCAATGCGGTCGGTCGGCTTGTGATGAGGTGGCTGGCCAACATTGTTGCGGTGGACAATTGAGTGATGCTGACTAGCTGGTGATGGCCATCACAAGGAGGCCACCCGAGTGGTTATGGGTGGCCAGCGCAAGGTGGTCGTTTTGTTGTCCAAAAATGTACTCCTATTGGTTCGTCAAACAGCTACAAGCTGCATTTTTTCTATTACACACACACACACACATTATATTTAGAGCACTTTCATAATAAATAATCATGCATGAAAGATGTATTTCAATTTTTATAAGTACATAATAATGATTTTGTAATGTGATATTAATGATTTTAATGCTATGCGTAAAAATCAAAGTTTAGATGTTAATATATAAATACATAAAAATTGTGTGTTTCGTATATTGTACATCAAAAATATAATCACATGAATCTCGAGAAAATCAACTGAGTCTCGCTTATGAATACCAAGGAGTGTGTATCGATATAGTCAAAATACGGAACACCAAGCATTGCTTCCTTCGGTTGAAACATTGAGTTAACCAAACAAAAGCACAGTCGAACAAATGAATAGAAGGCACTCAATCCAAAGAACATTCGTTCATAACTAGCTCCCTTATTCGATTCTAAAATTCTTCACAAAGATGGCCAAAAGGCCCCCACGGAATGCCTTTCTGATCTTCAGTGAAGGCCTTTTGTCTAAGGAGAGATGCCCATCAAATTACAACGATACACTCCCTGTCTGACAGCTCAAGTTTACCCTAACGACAAGAGGGTCTCTACTCATGATTCCACTAAGAGGGTTGACTAAATGCATGTTAGTTGACCAAAAGTTTTCAGACAACCGAATGACAAAATTAGCAGGTCATTAAATGTCATTCTTCAAGCAGTTATGAATATAAAATGACGCTAATGTGAGTTATGAATATAATAGGGTCTTGGAGTCAGTTATAAATATTAAAAGGTATAATAATAACTTATAATGTCCCTATTAAATCATAAAAACAGTTAATTTCACACTAAATACTCGTGGAACTTATAAATAGGAGGTCATTTCTCTAATAAATGACTACTAAATTTATTCCATCAAAACTCGTGTTACTGTGCACTTTATTTCCACTTTTTCTCCCTCATTTTTTCTCTGGTTTGTCCTACGCCTTATACCTTGGGTGTGATCCACAGTATATATTCAGCTTTTACATTCTAAAAGTTGCGGTGAGTGTTGAATCATGTCATAAGCAATAAGAGGATTGCAAGCTCTCCAGGAACAAAACCCTCGAGAAGAACCTGAACCCTAAGACCATCGAGTGTTTCAAGAGACAAAGAATTAAAGACTCCTAGTATCAGGATTGTGATGGGTCTGCGCTGTTGGTGAGATTGTAATTTGGGTAAATGAAAGTTTACCTAAGTCGGATAATGCATTCTCCTAACAGATCTTTGATGTTGAGCCATCGAAGAAGTTCAAACTTCCATCTTTGAAATCAAACAAGGGTCGAAGTGATCCAACCAATCATATCACTTCTTTTTAGTCGGTTGTCTGGTTTCTCAAAATCTCTGACACACTTAAGTATAAGTTATTCCACACCATGCTGAGAGACTCAATCCTTAGGTGGTTTAATGGCCTCCTGATGAGAGTAATCACCTTCTTCGATGAATTCAAAAAGATTTCACAGTGCAGTTTGTCAGCACTCATAATGTAATAACAACAAAAATAATAAAATAATATTAATAATTAGAAGAAGAAGAAGATGAAGATGATGATGATGATGATATAAGGGAGAGGAAGAAAAAGGGAGGTGTGTATATCTCTTGCCTCTTCCGACACCAAACTCTAGCCATAGGAGGCAACATTGCGGTGTGGAGTGTTTGATTAGCGCCACAATCGAAAGGTGGAGGGGAATTCAAAGTAGAAGAAGGAAACCTCTGATGCCAAGTCCTGCTTATAGAAGAAGGAGAAAGCGACGTTGATCCCTTATTGTGTCGAGTTCGCATGTAGAAGGTGTCGTGATCGAGAGGAGTAAGGGACTCACCAAGATGTTGAGCCTTGTTGGAGAAAAAGGAATGCACTGTTAAGACTTGTCGGAGTCTCAAAGAAGAAAAGGAGGGAGCTCGAGCTCACGCAATTGAGCAGAGGCTGAAGGCGGGATAAAGAAGCAGGGATCAAGCCTTTTGTGCGGGTTAGGGCAGCTGGTCAAGGACTTAATGTAAGGTTAAGAATTTTATTAAGTAAATTAATAATAGGTTATATATATTTATGAGTTTTAAATTAATTAATTATTGTGTTAATGTATAGTCACTTGAAGCAGGCATCGTAAGTGAAAAGTTTTGATGCCAAGGAGAAGGTAGTTAGCTCGTGCATGAAATTGGGCATTATGTGTGAACGATAAGAACCAAATCTTCTAGATTTTTAATGTTTAATGATGAAAATTTGTTTAAATTAAAATTATTAGTTTATTCACTAAATGATAATAACATGTTTAATTTAATCAGGCATTAAAGATAGAAGGTTAGAGGCAGAACAATTAAAGTTGTTAGAGAAAAAGGGAAATTATGTGGAGGGAAGCAAAACAAACTTTTAAAGTAAGAAATTCTATAATTGTTTATGTATCATTTTAATTATATGTCATTAATATAATAAGTATTTTTTTAAGAATAAGATTCTTATCAAATGATTTGCACATTTTTTATTAATATAAGTTGTCCAAATAAGTCACTGGAAAAGAAGTATTTCAGAAACCTCTTGTAAGATAAGGTGAGTAATTATTTTCTTATAAGCATTAAATTTAAAGTTTATTAATAAAGAATTTCTTTACAATTATTTTATGATTGTATGCATGTTGTAGCTTAAGAATTAAGGGAAATGAACGGGAAAAGAAAAATGAGGTAATTTAAGGGAAATGAAGTTATAAGTAAATGATCAAGTCCTACAAGATTACTCGCAGATGATACTGATAGAGTGTGTAATGTGCCCATGCACGTTACAAAAAATGGTAAAGATATACATTCGGGTACAATTTGAGGGTACTTTCGGGCACAGTTTTGAGCGTGTCTACGGTCACATTTTTTAGAATACCTTCGACTATGACGGCAATCCTGTGATGACTATTAAGAGGTTAAATTTGTAAAAACTTAAAGTAAAATAAGAATGGATAATTTTAAAGTTGTAATGAAATGAGCTGCATTAACTTTTGGTCATTCATGCATTGCATATCATAATAATTTAATGCATATTTGATTATAATTACTCACTATGCTATACTTATTGTTGCAATTAATATTTTCTTTCAGGAGAAAGAAAGTATTAGGTTGATATGTCTAATAAAAGAGATTTGGTTTATAGGAGGAGGACAACTGCTGCTAGGTAGTTTTAGAATTATAGTTTTTTCCTTACTATTTTTTTCATATATTGATATATTGTTTTAATACTAGATTGAGATATTCTCTTTGGATGTTATTATTCTGGATGCTTTAGATTTTATTGCACTTTGTAAATTAATGGATATTTTATATGTATTAGAATTTTCAAAATATGGATAGTACGATGTTAATATCATCTAACCATAGTTCCCGCCTTAGTTAATTCTAAGCACCA